CTTGCAATTAATCCAGAACGCTGAACTTGTGACTTTGCAGATGCCAACACAGCAAGTGACTAGGATATCTTCATAAGCATGAGACAGTGACTCTCTAGGGAGATCAAAGAGAAACTGAGATGCAAGAAAAAGCTGCCGTTATTAGCTGCGAGTGGGTTAGCTCAATATCACTGCAGTAAGTTCTTTGCGGTTACTGGAAGTCACCTCTTAGTAGCAGAGAGCAGTTCTATCCCAAATATTTGCTAGAGAGCATCAATAAGAACATTAAAGACAGATTAAAAACAAAACCCAAAGCACTTAATGCTCTTATGGCTTTGATTGTACTGTCATGACAACGTACTGTCTCTGGCAGTTTTCTCTTGAACGCATAATTCTCTCTGAAAAAGTGGAGGAGTATGGCATTTCAGAGAACTCTACAGCTGGTATAAAGGATTTTATTTCCCTGATATCTGTGCAGTTGTGCCTACATGTGCCCATTGAAGACTGTGCTTTTGAAGTTGATCTGTCGTATGGGACCTGACAGGAAAAATACATTGCTGATGGTGTTATTCGCTCACTGTCCATTAGTGAGTGTAGTGGAAGCAAAATGCCCGGCCAGAACAAGCTGTGATTTGCTTTTGCCAGTGTTCTGAGTCTTTGTAGCCTCTCTGGGCTGCTCTCTGGGTGCTGGGATACATTACTGCAAATTATTGAACACCTCTTGTAGTTTTCAGGAGCTGCTCGGGGCTTGGGAGATTCCAGCTCCAGTTTTATCTACATGCCAAGAGCCCACCATATGCACTTGTTTTTATGAGCTTGACTGCAGAAGGTCCAAGGATGATTCTGAAAACAGTTTGGCTGTTTCTTGCTCAGAATGGGGCGGACAGAGCATTTGGTCTGAGGCATACTCATGAGGGGCTAGATAATTTGATGGGTTTCTTTTGAAGCCCCATGAGTGGGGAGGAACCACCGAGCTGCTGTGCTATTGAGAGTACCAGAAAGTTCATAAGGGACATGTAAGGTTGAGGCAAGCACTAACTAGGAGCCAGCTGCTCCTTATTCAAAGCAGGTCATGCAAGGATCGCCAGGAGGGAGGGCTTTGGTGCCCATCTGGACCCAAAGACTGTACCAAGGTAGCAGCCTTTATGCTAGGACAAGCAGGAAGAAACAATGTCCTCACACTTATGCAAGTGCTACTGAGCTGATCAGCTGCTGAGGAAAAGGCCTCCTGGTCTCTCTGTCAGGCATGGAGCAGTGTCCTCGCTGTCTCCTAGGAAGGGTTGTCCCTCCCAAAGCTACAACTGGAATGGTTTTGCCTACGGGGCTCACTGTCTGAATTAGGAGTTAAAAAAAAAATACACTTCAAGTGTGAGCTTCAAGTATGATTTCTAGAAAACTTGCTGTTGGGTAGTGTTTATTCCCAGGCTTCTCAGCCTCTAACCAGCCTGTGAAAAGTCAGAAAGCTGACCAGGGTGTTCCTGTTTTTACAAACGGAGAACAGAAAATGTCATTTGCTTCTAATATCTCACCTCATGAGGAGCACAGGATGGGCAGCAGCTTTTTGGCTGTTTCAGGCCATCAGACCAGCTGTAATCAGCATGTTTTATGCTTCTACATGGGCTCCTGGCCACCTGTATAATGCCCATCTGTCGAACTGGGCATGAAGCCTAACAACGCTGTGATCCAGATCATATGAATAAGGCACTGGTTTCCAGGAAGTGATGTTTCTGAAGGACAGTTTGCAATAACATGACAAATGCTATACCTTCTGCATGAAGTCCTTCCTATGCAGCATTACCGTAGCAGTGCCATGTGCTCCTTCATACTTTTAAGGCATTTTGGGGGATTCATCTAAATGAAATGTAAATGTGATGTGGCAATGATAGCACATGAATATTTAGAGACAGTCCCTGTCCCTCTGTGACCACATCTGAGCATTTTTAATGTATTCCTCCTAGAACTATGTAATGCTTTTCTGTGAAGAGTAAATTTGCTGAAAAATGCAGTTTTAGAATAAACACGCCTATTTGCCATATGAAGTGAAATGTGTTAATTAGCTGTAAGAGGGAGAGAACATGGTGAAACTGGCTTCCTGAACTGACAGAGGAGGAGCTGCCTCTGTTTTCCCCTCATTCGATAGGTAAAGACCCCCATCCCGTCAAGGCAGTGGGAGCTGTGAGTTCAGGTTCCCCTTTCTATGAAAAGAAGTTTGAACCCACATCTCCCAGTGGATACCCCAAACTACTGGGTGAGAGATGCTCTGAAAGTCTGCTGCTGATCTTATTCTGGCTTTTTAAACCATTAGACAGTCATTAGAACAGGGTTTGGATACTGAGGCTCTTCTCTCCTGGGCGAATGTTGCAAGTATTAAGCGAGAAATTTTTGCCTCCCTTAGTGACTGTTCTGATCAAAATGGAACAACTTTGATAGTATGGGCTAAAGAGTCCCAGTTCCTATGCCTGATAATCAGGTACAGGATCAACAGGCTGTCTTCCTCCAGGGATTTTTAGGAGAAGAAAACTGTAAAGACTGGTTTTGGGCACACTTAGTTAAGGTCTAATAGTAATGGAGTGAGAGGGCTTGTGCAAGAAGGTACCACGAGACAATGAAATTCTGCCAGGGCACTTTGCTCTTGGCTGACCTTCTACATACAACTGTATCTTGGCTATTTCTAGACAGAAAAATGCCAAATGTAGTTAAGTGAAATGATTTTTACTGTTGTATATTTTACATTCAAACTGAATTAATTTCTTGTTTGGATGTCAGTGGCTTTGTCTACATTAGCAAATACCATGGTGCAGTAGGAGCAGGTCTGTAGAGCAAAACAGTTAGTACAACCAGACTTGGCTCATTTTACAGTTTTTGCTTCAGAGTATCTGTAGTCTAATCCTGTGGACTGAAAGTCTATTAGCAGTGTTTCTTTTCCTAACCCGAAAAGAAACACTGGATGCACTTTGCTTTCATTCCAAGTCAGTTTGAAACAAAATACCTAAAACCAAATTCCAGTTCACATGGAATTCAAATTGGTTCCAGTTTGAACAGAATAGTTTATTTCACCATTCTGATGACTTTTCTTTGAGTGTCTTTTTGGTATATGTTATCTAAAAAGACTTGAAAGAAATTTTGAAAGAAACTTGTAGCAAATCAGAAGACCAAAGATTGTGTTCTGAATATGTCAACAAAAGCTTTCAACTTGCTTGGAATATTTTGCGTTTTCTGCCAGAACAAAGACATCAGTGAAGCTGACACATGTTCATGAGACCTTTCGATGTTGCTATAGCTATATTTTTTGTTGACAGTTGTTTCAGCTGAAATTTTATCTCGTGCTTGTTCAGGTCATATTACATCATGCTCAAATCTGTATATCTTACTGTGCATGTGATTCTTGCTATTCTTGTTTCCAAGAAGTTTGTACCCAAAATTGATATCTTCATATCCTCTTGAAAAATATATTATCTTACCTATCTCTGCCTGTGGCAGAGAAAGGAAAGAAAATCCAGTGCTGCTGTCTCAACTTGCCTGTTCTGACTCCTCTGCTATATGACTACGAAATCAGTCATGACACATACATGTGCCTTAGCTGCAAGAAAATGAGAGAGAGAACGGAACGAGGACAAGAAAAACATTCAAGAACTGAGAAAGTATTAAGGATCTTGTATGGGAGAGGAGCCTAGCTGATATGAAAGGAGTGAATGTGAGGACTGTGCAGAAGTACAGTGGCCTTTAAAGTCAAGGACTTTGCCTGCATGCTGAATTATACAGGTGCTGTGAAGGTTGCTTGGACTCTGAAAAGAAAGCAGACTCTCAAGAGCAAATCGTGGTGCTTTTCTCTTGCAAAAGCATCCTCCATACATTCCCTAGGACAAACAGGTGACTCCTGTTACTTAATAGGTTTGTGGTTTAGGTATTGGATTTTACCTGTGACTGGCCTCTAGATCAGCTGGATCCAATGCTGCATATTCAGAATATGTGATTTGTTTTGTGTCAAACATCAGGACTATTTTGTTGCTGGTTTTGGCCTGTGTAAATGATCTAGGATTTCCTGCCAGGTACCTCATTCATCTTAGCCTATCCAGAAGTATATGACATGGAAAGGTTATAGTCTTGATAAAATACTATTTTCAGAGTAATATATAGGGCCAAAGTCAGGGATAAAATAGACATCAGTAAATAGTTATTAGTGATTTAACAATGATGCAATGAATTTAACCTGATGAGAGATGAGAAGACTATCATAGTAGAGAAATAATCCGTACCTATTTATTGCCCTCTTCCTAGTTGCTAAATGGTCTCTGCTTTAACTTACACACTGCAAATATCAACAGATTTTAAACCTATTCAACGTGTAACCTGCACCATGTTAAATGTCAGCTCTGCATATCATTTGGTGCACGTTACTAAATTTTTGTGGTGCCACATACAAAAAACAATTTGTTGACTTTCTATTTTATTAGTTTGTAATAAATGCATTCTTTGAGATTTCTCTCAGTTCCAGAATGAGAATGAACTGCTATGGCCACATAACCTGGCACAAATATAAGTCGCAATAAAGGCAAAATTAAAAACAATTGTCTTGGAAGTTTTATAAAACCAGCATTCATATCTAAATATTTCTTAGTATCACTTGTTCAGAATGAAGCTTGGGTCTTTTTTAAAGACTTCTATGCCCAAAAAAATAAGTTGGATTTTGGGCAAAAAGAAAAATGTCACTGAAGATTATTGATTTCCAGGAAAAATTGTCAGTGTTCCTTTGCGTTTTTTTTGACAAGATGAAATCAGAAACATTTTAGTTTTTGGATTTAGCTGGGTACGAGATAGTTTTCAACTGTCTCTTTGAGAGTTTATGTTTTTAGAAGAAAGACAGTGTCAGACGGTGGGAAGCTTGTCTGGACTTTTTCTGGGCTAGGGAAAAGCCCACACTTTATTTTGAGTATATGTAGGAAAAGCAGCTTTTATGTGGATTCTGACATGAGTGGAAAAGCCTATATGTGAGCAACATACTTTTCTTTGTTGTTTTACAGGTTCCAGAATCTGCTTTGGTCTAGAAAAGCATTCGTGGACAGCGTTAAAGTGTATAATCACAGCTATATCTATATGCCAGCGTTCTCAATGAAGACAGGGACAGGACCCTCCCTGCGCGTCTATTATACCTTGGAGGACTTTGGTGCCAAGCAGACGGTGCTTTTCGCCAACCCCAATTTCCTGCGTGACATTGGCAAGTTCTGGAAGAGCAAAGGTATCCATGCCAAACGGCTTTCCACGGGACTGTTCCTAGTCAGTGCTGCCCTTGGCCTGTGTGAAGAAGTAACAATTTATGGCTTCTGGCCTTTCTCAGTGGACCTGCGTGGGAAGTTTATTAGCCATCACTACTATGACAATGTCTTGCCCGATTCTGGATTCCATGCCATGCCGGAGGAATTTCTACAGCTCTGGTTTCTTCATAAAAGTGGTGTCCTGAGAATGCAGCTAGAACAATGTGAGGACCCTTTAATCCAGTCTGCTGCCTAAGGATTGCAGGGGTCAGTCTGGGAGATCCAAAAGTTTTTAATTTCCCTGTCCTACACAAAGAGGGCTCTATTTGCTGTTGATTCTTTTTAAAGGGAAAAATAATTATGGATTTGCATGGACCATAAAAATGCTACTTGAAGGCCAAATGGAAAGCATCCTTAAAGTGTAATGTTTAATGAAACTCGGGTGAGGGGAAAAGAATCTCCCCGTAGAGTCCTTTCAGCAGTATTGTAAAAATAATGTCAAAAGCAACGCAGCTGAACTTTCTGGGTGATGTTTTTAAATGACCAATGTAAAAGGGCATTAAGACTCAGAGAGAAACAGGGCCACCCACGAGCTTTTGCTGACAGTGCCAAATATGACTGTCTGTTCAAAAATCCATTTCATTCCAGATTGGCATCTCATACAAGTTTCTTACCCTTTTTCTTTTTTTTCTCTATATACGTGTGTGTGCGCGCGTGTGTGTATGTAGGAGTATGTGTGTGGTTTCCTCCTTCCTTCCTTCCTTTCTTTTTCTTTTTTTCTTTTTTTGGTGGGAGGAAGGAAGGGGAAAGACTTGAAAGCCATGGGAGCTGAGTATCATCAGCTCCTCCAGCGACTCTTGGGAGAATTAACAGTGCAGGAAATCTGGTAGAAAACTGTCTTAGGAATGCCCTGGTACTGATTAGGGGTGGACCTTCCTGTTGTAGAATTTATCAGGGTGGTTTAGGTCATTGCACGTGTAGTTAGGCTAATTTTGTATCATGGGCAAGAGCTGGCAAAGGGCAACTATTGAAAATAAAACTTTTATTCTGCTACCAAAAAGAAACAAAAAAAACCCATTAAATACACCCTGGTTTAAGTTGGCCTGTTACAAGATTTCCGCACTGACTTTTGTAGTAGGGATTGCTCCTGACCTGTTTTGCTGTCCAGCCTTTAGGATTAATTCTGTGTTCGTTTGGACTGCAGATGCACACTGACTATCATGGGGATATGAGGTGTTCAGTGGAATGCAGAAGGAGGTTCTTCATTTGCTTATAGCAGAAAAATTGCAGAAATGAATGTAAGCGTCGTTTAAAATGAGTTGAAATTTTGAAAATTCTTTCTCTTTGTGTGACTAGCTCTTCTGTTTGGATTGTAATGTTGGCCTTAAAGACTTGTACTTTTCTTGCAAGATGGTCTCTGGTCAAAGATAGTCTGAAAAATAAAACAGCCTTTGGGAGCACTCAAAAACTACATAGCCAGCAAGAAAAAGAAAACGAAAATGGTAAGCGCTTATGTAATGCAGTAATTCTCCTTGCAATCAGTGAATTACATAAGTGTATACATTTCACTTAGGCTGCTCTAGTCAGTGCAATGCCTAAAGGACTGTTTTATTTTTGGTTATTACTTGGAGAGCAGATGATCCTATTGCCATGTACATGAGAAATCTTTTTGCTTGTTTGTTTGTTTTAGCACTGTAGGACAGGAAGAGAGTACCAGTGCAGTCTACGGTGCAATTACTGCTGCAAGACGTTATCACCATTAACTTTTAAGTCCAGATTAGTGTTCTCTTTCTCATACCTCCATCATTAGTAGCTGCAATTCTGGTCAAGCTGTTGAAACAACAAAACTGTCATCAGATTTCCACAACGATTTCCTGTGCTACCTGTTTTAGCTCCATAGTGCTAGTACTTTGGGGGGATGTGTCCTATCAGATGTTGACAACCTCTCTCTTTGTAGAATGCCAGCTACACATTATATAGATATCATTAAAAAAAGCAGAAACCTTGACTCTTCTTTAAATGTGAATAATTCAGCTGTCATTGTAGGACACTGGGAAAAAAAGCATGTTTTGCTTTTTAAATCTGCGTTTCAGAATAAAGTCTTCTTTCTAGAAATTAATTTTCCAAACATAAAGTGGGCGTTGTTCCACGGGATTATAGTGCAGTTCTAAACTGTAAAGTGGGGATTGGGATTAAGTGGTGTTTCAGAGATTGACCTGATAAAATCTGAATGTGCTTCTATAACCCATTTTATCTTGGTCTGTATTTTTTAAAAAGTGCAGTCAACACATTGATGGACTGTTGCTCCATCAGATAATTCTTTCACTTGGGTTATGTGTCTGTTGTATTTACAATGTGGGTACTCAGTGAGGGAGGATCTGAAACTGAAGTATTTTCTTTACTGCTTGTTATGGCAAATTTTCACTGAGCTACCTTTCTTGGAGAACAACAGATGACTGTACGGTTTTCATTGTATACGCCAAGTTTTGCACTTTTTAATGCTTTAAAGAAGACATTATCAATAAGAACAACTCTCAAAATATGATGTATTAAAATGGCATTTCAGAGGATGCCAGCATTTCCTTGGGGGTGGTGGGAATGAGGAGAGTAGGGAAAAAATGCCCCTTTCCAGGCCCTTTTTGGTATTTGGAAATCCTTTCTCCCATGTTCTGGGAAAATAACCTGGTTAGAAGAACAAGAGAAAACAAGTATTTTTCATAGGGAAAGTCAATGCAGTATTTTATAATATCTGGCTTGTTTATTTTCAGCCAGTGCCCTGGGGATCTGGAAATGTTATATTCCCCATCTCTGTATGACTGAAGCAGACTGAACCTATAGCCTGTGGTCTTTCTGAGTCCTTTCTGATGTCTGAAATCCTGATGTTTGCAAGAAGATAGTTTTCAAAAAATGAGGGGGCTAGAAGAAGCCCAAGCTGTGCATGATACATGTGACTGGTGTCGGAGGACTTGATAACCATTCACCTTTATTTGTAGTGAATATAACTGGATCTTACAAGACAACCACATTTGACAGGACAGTAGAGGTTTCAAGGTTAAATAATTCTCTGTAACTTCTGAGAAAACAGGCAGCTTGGGGAAGGAGAGAAACGAAAATAAATGCCCCTTTTGAGAGAAAGACTGCAGTGTGAGCTCAAGAGAAAACTGTCAGTCCACACAAGGCTGCTGGCCACCAGCAGCCTTTTGCCTTGCAAGTAGAAAGGGAGACAGGAGACTACTGGAAGTGTTTTGGGGCAAGAGCAGTGATAGTAAAAATGAAAAGCAGCTGGAGATGTGAGAGTGGAAGCTGTGTGACAAAAATCTTTGAGGCTCTGTCTGTTCTGCTGCGCACAGCGTAAAGCTTGCCTTGTTCACAATTCAGGGTAGTGGGATCCAGGTATAGGACCACCGACGTGAAATACGGAGCTGCATGCAGTTGGGTTGAAATTGTCTGCCTCTTTGGGAGGGAGGACACGCCATAAGATAGGATCCTTTCTTTCTGCTTAAACACAGGTGCAATCACATCGAGGAGGCTGACTGTGTTAACCATGAGAAATTAGCATCGCACGGTCATGGCAAACTTTGGACAGAGCGGCTATATCCATCCATTATATGCATCACTTACTGATTAATCACACAGTGCAATTGTGCACAGTGCAGTCTTGTTGATAGCTGTGCCCTTAATCAAATCTCAGTGTTTATGTTGCTGTATTTTCCTTGAAGTGAATTGAAATCTTAATGTTTGTTTTGCAAGCAAAGTTCACAGTTCCAGCTTCTCTATTTCCACTGCCTGTCTCTGAATTTCTCTGATACTGTAATTAAAGCTACACAAGTCTTTGCCAGGTTGAAAACTGCAATTCATCTCCCATAAAACCCAGTTCAGACTTGCCAAAAGACTTGTTAATGTACTTGGATATTAATTTTGTCATAGACGTGACAGGGTGCAGAAACACTGGAATCATTGCTCTGCATGGGAAATATTGCTCCTAGATTGTAAATAGAATGAATTAAAATCCCTTTACAAGATGTGTGCATGGAAGATATTGAGCACTGAAATCATTCCAAGTTTAATCTTTGTAGACGTGTATATGCTTTTGAGTAAATCAGGGCCAATGTATGAACTTGTGCCAAAACAACATAAAACTCATTTCTGTTGATTTTGAATCTTGTGGAGCCCATTCCAAAACAGACAGGCAAAAGAGAAGCCAGCAAAAAATCATGATGGGGGAGAGGGGGGTAACCATGACAATGAAAGCATTTGTAAATTGCTGTATTATAATTTTGCTGTAATTCTAAGGACTCTTATTCATGAATTATGTGTTTTATATTTTTGCTGAAACAAAGATCAAGTTTGGGCTGAACCAACTACAAAAGTCAGAGGTCCAAGCCTTTTTTACAGCTTCACTTCTGTAGAATAAGGAAGTATTAGCTGTTTTGTTGATGTAACTACTTTCAAGCTTTTTGTTAGCATCACTCAAATGGTGTCGTAACATGCGCTGCTGAGCATGCTTGTCTGTGGAAGGTGGAACTAAGTAAAGCATCTGCTTTTTTAAACTGTATTTTTGCAGTATGGTGGTTACATGCAACCCTTCCCTCTATACATATGCATGGACACCTGGTTTAATATCTGGCTCATTCTTTACTATGATTAGCAACGAGAACAGGAGCGAGGAAACTTGATCTGGAAGTGGAGATGATGATGAAGGTGAATGCTGTCTCACCAATTGCTGCCTGCCTTGGTTCTCTCTCTTCTGCGGCTTGATAGATCAGTGGGCACTGGAAATCCAAGTTGTATGAAGGACAGGCAGTTCGTGAAGATCTGGATGATGCTGGAAAAATTGAAGGTCAAATCGAAAAATTGAAGGTCAAATTGAAGGTAGTGTAACAAGTTGCACTCTAGCAATTCTTGACAAGGATCCCTGGTTCTAAGCAGCTGTTGGATGTTTTCTTTGGGTAGTGACAGTGAAAAATGGACTACCTATGACTTACCTATGGTTTCCTGCAGAATGGCAGCAAAGTGTGATGGCAGCTATTGTTAGGAGGAGGGAAACTGATTAAACAGAAAGAGAAGTTATAACAGAAGACAGAATGATAATGAGAAATCCTTTACCATCTCTTCTCTCCTTCCATTCCCCCCCAAAACAAACATATAAATGGTCTGAACAATTGATTATCCTGAGTCACCATCATCTTCATAAAATGATTTGGTGGGATTTCCATTGGTTGATGCTTCCTGGTAAACAAAATTCAGCAGACCTTTTGCAGGAGTCCTCGATCCCTTGTTCGATGAATGTGCAGTGGATGCTTTGGGGACTGTGGCTACCCTGAAGTGCTGCAACCTCCCTGTTCCTATTATTGTGTGTTTCCATCAGCTCTCCCTCCGAGATCCTCTGTGTTTGCATGAATGACCCAAGAGGTCACTCTAAAGGATTTCTCTTCCCTCTCCTTACTGATGACCATCCTTCTTGGGGTTAGAAGTGCATTGTAAAAAATCAACTACAAGGTAGCTAATATACATTTTGAACCATCTTTTCTTCTTAAGTGATTGAGAAATCCAATGAGAGCTAGCTCCAAATCCAAAATATGACTTCCACTAAGTTTTGATAATTCCATCTCTGCACTGGAGACCAAAAAGAGGGTGGAAGAAGGCTATGTTTTTCATAGTGATTGCTTTAAAATAACTTTTATTTCCTTGAATTCCCAGATTTTGTCACCTGGAATCTGCCAAATGTTTGACTTTTTGGTAGATTTTAAACTGCACAATTGGTTAAAGACTTACCGGCATGTTTATTTAATATTAGTAAACTGGTTTTCCTAAAGGAAACACAGATACTGACAGGAGGCTTAACCTGTTCTCCACAGCTGATATTTCTTCAGCAGCAGCAATGAGAAATGAAGCAGTTACTTATTCCTCCCTGATTCTTCATTTTCTTCAGTTTTTATTACAGCATATTGAGCCCCAGTGTATTCAGCCTGCTCAGCTTAGTGCATGCTTAAAAATGCTTTTCACTCTTTTCAGCTACAAAGAAATTGTGTTCTTAATTGGAAGCGGTCGCATAGGTTCCCTCTACCATAGGAGGAGAGAGACGAGCACTCCACATAGTGATTCATGATTTTTCTGGACGCAGACTGCATGCTCCAAGGTCTCCATGGGGCTGTGAAAACACCCAGGCTGTGGCTGCGAGGCTAACCTGTAAAGGGCAGGACGCAAGCCTGAGCACTGGCCCATGGGCTGTACAGTTTGCCTAGGAGCATATTGGTGTGGTTTTGCCCGGTGCCAACTACTCTCTTTGAACCAAGAACTTTGAACTACTCGTCTTTGCCAACGCTCTTTGAACCGGTGCCCGGGCATCAGCTGGGGATGAGCCCAGCTCAACTGTGTGGACGCAAACTGTCATGTGCTCAGGAGCAGCAAGGAGTCCTCCTCCAAGTCTCGAGGTGCGTTCAGGATGGCGCCACATAAGGAGGAGGCTATTGAACTGCTGGGACGTGGTGGTCACTGGGGTGGCTCCATTTGAGTCTACTGTGGCTACAATTCAGTGAGCGACACTATAGAGCGGGTCCTGGCCTTGTGGCAAGTCCAGCACTCCTCTGCTTCACCTTCTCAAGTGCTGGGCTCCCGGAGAATGAGGACAGCTCACCCCTTTGGCGACCTGCCTGTTTCTTGCCCTGAAATGCTTTTGATCCCTGGCAAGTCTCAGAAGGGCCTATTAAAACTGCGTCTTAAAATAATTTACATGTACTCCCTGCTGTGGTGGAGTTGGTCAGCTTTCTGTTGAGCTGAATATTTATTCCATCTCGGTCCCATTAAGGCAAGTGAAACTCCACAGTCACATCACCCAGAATTTTCTATTTTATTTGATGTTTTCACCTTTCAAGTTGAACCTTTTTTTCTTTTAAACTAGATTCAGCTCCCTTTAAAGGGAGCTATAAAAAAGCAACACCACAAATAAATGTTCTCGGGGTTTATGAATAGGCCTGTGTTCAATAAAACATGGAAGTACTTTTTGAATAGTTCCTGTTGATTTCTAATTGCACATTCAATGAATTGTTTTCCTCAGATGGGGCCCATAGCAAAAATAAGCTACATCATTATCTTTTCAGTTTATTAGAAGGGAGTCATTACAGATGCATCGAATATTTTAAACTAAGCAAGAAGTCAGGAAATTTACATATTCCCTACGAAGCTTTGTTATTTTTTGATTACCTTTGTAGTAAAGGAAACATTTCACTAAAAAATAGATGCACAGAGGAGAAAAAGATTTCGGTTAAAATAACATCTCTGAGACCCTGATTCAAGTCCCTGCTCATTATTTTCTCTCTATATATATTATTTCTGGAGAAAATGCTTGAAAACTTTATTTATAATTCCTATGTGCAATGAAAATAAATACTCCTTTTTTCAAGAGTAGAAGTTTTCTTTTTGAATACCCTTAATTTTTAGTATGTGGAGCAAAACTGACAGAAGATACCTAATTTTCAGGTTAATGCTGTTTTGCAGGCATCTGTCAGGGCTGCCGCATACATGTGAGTTGACTGCTGCCTCTTGAATTCTGGAGTTTGAGCAGATGATACAGAATGTGCTACACTGACAATAATAATAATAAAAAAAGATCTTTTATTATAGCTCTTCTGGCTTAATGTCTCGCCTATCCTAAGCGGTATTTATTAGTTCTGCAAGTTCTTATGCTGAGAATTGTGCACAAGTATGGATTTTAATCCTGAAGAGCATACGTTGACTGATTTTTTAGGACTGGACCTTGGATGTACTGAAAACTGAAATGAGCACTGAAGTTCAAACATTATAACTCAAAACACCGATTAGTAACTTCAAGAGCTTTTTAAAAAATCATTTCCTGAAAAAAATCACGTAAATTGCATATGTGAAGAATGATCTCATTTCTTGCTGAAATGCACCAATAAGCATGAACAATCTCTATGCTAAGACGTATGTGGGTGTTTCTCCCGGTTTCAAGTTATTAGGCATGTCTAGCTTTGTACTCAAGTCTGCGCTGCACAACTTCCAATTGTAGCTTACTCCATGTAAGTGTCCTTAGATAAAAGACTGAATGTCACATTCCAAATGTAGTCAAAAAGAAAGAAAAAAATGAGGATAGGGGTTCTGATCTTCTTTTGAAGTCTATTACTGTTTACCTACTGCCGTTTAGTAGTGATGTCTAAAGAACTAGGCAAAGATCAGAATAGGGGTAAAGAGTAAGGGGATTTAAGAATATATTTAAATTCTTTGCTAAATCAGGACTTAAAGTTATTAATAGGTAGTAGGTTTCTGTTCTTTCTCCTCTCTACCTTTTGACTCTTGCAGTACTGGGAAGAAACCTGCTATGTTGACAAGCTGTTTAAGGTCTGGTCTGCACCTTCTGCTGACTACAGTGAACATTTCTCCAGGCCCTATATCTGAAAACATGAAAAAGAAACATAAAGCATTTCAGGTTTGCTAATACTGAGCACGATCTTGCTTGTGTGCAGTATTTCATGACCTTCTAGCACTAATCACTGTGTTAACTCAGAATTGAAGAGAAGGCTTTCTTATTTCTGATACCACTTCTCCCAGAACGTTTGATCTCTTTCTTCCTGCTGCGGTTTCTCAGTCCAGTGAATAGGGATAATATTTAGCTCACTTTGAGGTCTTTGGAGAGTTAGTTAAGTCATGTTTGGAAAGTGACGTGAAGAAGCAAAAATGCTCTAAAATATAAAGGTTTAACTGTTTTGAGCAGTGAAAACAAGCAAACCAGTAAACCCTTTTAGTCAACTGAATTTATGCTGCTATGTTAAAATCCAGCCTCGTTGCCAGCAAGTACAGTAATGCATAGATTTTTAAGAAAGTGAGTTGTCATGCATTTTAATGGGAAAAGAAAGTTTTTTCTCTGCTCAGATCCTCAATTTATAGGCCAAAATCTGCTCTCTTCTGGTGTTCTAACTTCTTTCAAGTCGATAGAATTGCATGGATTTTGACCAGCTGTCCATTCACAAACCTGAGGGAGTTCCTCCTGTGAAAATCTTAATTGAAGGTATTTTAAAGCAGTGCTAGATTATGCTACCTAGTTAAAGATGCCTAGTCTGTAAGCTACTGATTTTTTTCCACAAATGCAGATCATGTGTACTTCCTGTTCCTTGGTTGTTGTTATAAGGCAGATATCTTACTGAATTTCAAACATCTGCTGCACTAAGGTATCACAATCTGAAATCAAATCATGCTCTAAATCATGCCTTGTATGAGAAATTGTTTCAGCAAGCTGCAAGGAAGTGATGTGTGTGCTGCTCTATCGGTCAAGTATATTGTATGAGCAAAGTTAAAATGAAGAAAGGATTTTGCTAGAATGTGAAGCCTCACTACTGTATAGCTGTATCTCAGAGTTAGATAGCCTCAAATAACTTATTGTCCATGATGGATATGAATCCTGCTAATGTTTCCACTCATCGTCAAATAATTTTGTTAAACTTTAATGAGGCAATGATATGATACCGACCTCCCCATCTGCTTTTCATCTGCAATTTTTCTTTTGTGATAATTTTTTCAGGAGATAAATCTTTTTTCTCA